GCCCTACCGGAGATCCATCACAGACCAACCAATAAGATGAATAGAAATAGCGATAGCCCAAAATAGACAAAAAGATCCTCAGACATATACATGGCTTGCTCAATCGGCCCACGACCGAGTCTAGATATGGCGGGCATCCCTCATTCTCCTCCATAAGGTGACAATACACAGCAGGGTAGGTGAGTCAATGACGGGTAAGAGCGTGCCTCCCCAGCACGACTCGACCTAAGCCAGGCCCTACCCCATCCTGCACGTAAGCCGCTGGACTGTTAGATGCTGCCCAGGTCTAAATTTCTCTCCGAGGGGATTTCTTTACGGAGAGGAAATGAGTGCAAGCTTGTGTACATCCAGGTTCCGTCCAGTTTGTGCCTGGCCCTAAAAAAAGGACGAGGGCCTCAGGGCCTTGGCAGACCATGGCATGGCCAACCAGGGTCTAAGCCAAGGACCTACGGTGGGCCTACACATAGGACATAAGCCTCTACACCCAGTCCAGGAAGGGCTACAATACACACGTTCATAAAAAATAAAATAGGGGGAGATGTTGGGAGCCGCGTCTGTGATAGCTCGCCTTGCGCGGCGGACGTGCGGCCTGTGGTAAAGAGCAAAGCCTGAGGTAGATTACCCCTCCCATCGAATATGTTAGTTTCCTGCTTACCGCGTAAACAACCCGCTCAACAATATAGTCTGCCTGGCAACTGATGATGTTAGCCAATCAGCTTGCCTTGCTTACTTTAACATGATTGGACACTGTACCCGTATATATACCGGTGCCACCCCTGGGCGGAAGAAGAAGCCAGGTAAAAGCCCAAAAGTAAAAGCCCAAAAAGAGCCGCGGAGAGCGGACCGGTAGAGGCTTTGGGGCAGACTAAAGCACAAAAAGAGCCGCGGGGAGCGGACCAGAGGAGGCTTCAGCTGGGAAAACCCAGGGCAGGCTGTACGGAAAAGGAAAATAAAAAGAAAAGGTTGTCCACTACCAGACTTTGTCGTGTGTCCTTCCTGCCGGCCGGGAGCGGACATCGACATTAACTTGTGCTACAACTCATGACATGGTCTGGTTATGGCTTTGCTTCCATGGAAAGATCCTTCACGGACTTCCTCTTTTCCACCATTTCAGAAATTCAAGCCGCACAAATGCCTGAGTTCCCAGCCACTCTGCCATGCTCTAGAAAACCCTGCAAAGCCCCTATAAATGGTAAACCCAATGGCAACATCATAGGACCTCCGCTGAGCCCTGCCCCGCCCCAGCTAGGCTGGGCCCAGTGGTTTCCCTGGTGGGGCAAGGCAGTGTAGAAAAAAACGACTGCCTCTGTGCTGGCTCCTTGCTTCTTGGGCTGGGCTACTGTATGCACAGCTCTGAGGAGTTCAGGAAGTGCACGCTCTGCTTCAGCAGGGCCAGGTTCACGCTTGCTTCTGACAATTTCCAGACGATGCCCATACTGCTTGTCCAACACTGAGTGGCCAGGGGTCTCTGTTTCACTGCCAAAGCCTTACTGAAAGATTTAGACCAGAAATTCTATGGATACTGAGGCTCTGGTCTTACCCACTACCATGAATAGAAGAGTATTCTGCTGAAGCAGTCAGTCACCCAGGAAAGGAGTCTTCAGGGGTTCAGACAGAAAGAGCTCACCCACCGCACAGCCAGATCCCTGGGGGTTGCAGAAGCGTCTCTGGCCCAGGGCCTGTAGCTGCAAGCACAGCGGAGGAATCAGGCTACCCAACATGTGGGACCATGTGGGACAGAAGAGTGGCGTGCAGCTCCTTGCATAGCCAGCCTGACTCAGCTGTGAATCCAAGGGTTTAGAAAAGAAGGCTCAAGCATCCTCTTTAGAACTAGCAAGCAAGGGACATGGAGGTCTGTACAGCATTAGTAATGAAACAAAAGGGGCTGCCGAAACCAGCTAGAGACTTCTGGGGAAGTCTTGAGGAGTGAGAGTCGGAACTTTAAAGTCCAGCTGCAACCTCTTACAGGGAGGCTTCCCCTCTACTGAAATACAGTGTGGAGGCTCTAGTTGAACTCTTAAGAGACAGAAGTTTCTGGTGTGTGGTGTGAGCATGAAGCTTTAAAGAAGAAGAGGGGAAAGGGAGACAAGGAGAGGGAGAGAGGCGTAAGGCTCAGAAACTCGGTTCTTCAATGCTGCTAGTAGACAAGAGGTCGCCAATTGGCTAAAGACTGGGACCGGCTTTAAAAAGGACAGACACGGGCACAGTCAAGCAGCCTGGCTTGCCATCCCTAATAAAGGGTGGCAATGACCTCACCCCCACCTCAGAGTAGCTAAAGGACAGAGCCCTCGGGTCCTCAAAATGTTCTTCTCTAAACAGGAGTCAACTCAAGCTCAACTCTTCTCTAATAGCATAACTACTTAGTGCACCTTTAGCCAACTATTAATTAACGCTGCTTCCTCAGAGAAAGAGGCCATGGGCAGACCAGCCCTTAATGAGCATCCTAAGGCCTGGCCAGACTTTGAGATAATGCACATACTGAGATATTAGCTGATTCTCACAAACAATAGGTGCCTGCACCCTCTAAGTAGCTCATGTGTTACAGATCTGACAAGTCTCATTGATTTAAATGGCTAGAGCACTGCTTGGATTTTAATCTCCTTCACCCTTATACCAAGGAGGTCGCTGTTTAAACGCTTTTACTTAATAATGTAAACACCTGTCACACGCCAGGGGCAAAGCTATTAAGGAGAAGGATTATTTAAAGCAAAGCTCTTGAATACAACATTGCTGTTATTGTCTTAGCCTCAGTTTCAGGTTCTGAGCAAGTCTTGCCTTCTTAAAACCAGAGAAGTAAGCTAGTCACCCAGCGCTCTGTTCCCCTCAGAGTCTGCAGAGCACCCACTAATATGCCAACAAAATGCCATCTGTCATTCAAGCACCTCCAAGTATCTGACCTGCCAGACTATTATCACCAAAACAGGTGCCTACTAATGTTATCAGTTAAAATGGACAGTGCTTCCATGAAGGAGTAGCCCGCCAGGGCATTACCCTGGTAGCTCCAAGACCAAGAGCTAACCTCTTTACAAACTGTCTCTTTTAGACCTATAATAACCCTACAGTTTAGCACTGTTAACCCATAACTTGAAGCACAGAATGGTTAAGTAACCTTCACAAGGACATACATAATTTAATAACAGAGAATGCCTCATACTCAGGGCATAGACTTTCAAGCCCCATACCCTATTTGCGATATTGTCTCTCACTGTGCATGCATAGCATAAGGACTCATGAGTTCACCACATAACCTGTCACCTGGCAAGGTGAAAGCCCAGAGGAATGGCACGGAATAGAATAGAAGACCTAGAGGACCACTCGGCAGGAAAGGGTTAGGGCTGGGCTGTGTGCTCGGCCTTTGGAACAGACCGTGGGCAGCAGCAGGCCCCAGGGTTAGGCCCAGAGGGCCAGGTGTGCGGACACCATGGCGTTCTCCACCCCTACTCACTCCCTTTACTCAAGCTGTATCCTGTGGGTTGAGAGGGGAGACAAAAACCAAAGCAAAGCCCCTCCTACACCTCACCACTGCCTTTTCAGTGTTTATTGTAGCTGCTGGTCACGGCCACGTGGGTCCCACCAGTGGCACCTAAAGCCCTGCTATCATTTAACCAACTAGAGATTAATGACTGTCCATGAAGAGGAAGTCACAGTCACAGGACAACATGGACCCCACAGTGGTGGTCTTTGTCCAACCTGCTGGGCAGGAAGAACCTCTCAGAAATAGTGATATTTGAGATAAAATGTCAAAGATGAATAAGACAACCAAAGGGGTAGAGTAGCCAACTACAGACCATAATATTAAGTGAAATAACTCAGACACACAAACTTAATATAGCATGATTTCATTCATGCTATATTTATGTGTGAATATTTCTCACTATATACATAAAATATACATATGGAGATAGAAAACAAAATACATAAATAGGAAATAGGGTGATCTTTTTTCAAAATGGATGGAGGAACAAAAGATGGAGGGAGAAACAGAAAGAGGCTAGAAAAAGTTGAATTGGAAAATGATGAAAATAGAGATTTTGCAAATGGAAAGGGAACCAAGAGTCGGAAGGATCAGGGAAGGCTAGAAGGGATGAGGGGTCTTTTAAAAAGAAAAAAAAGAATTAAGATGTATTGTGCACATGCACAAATTCCCCACGATGAGTGTAATCACTATATATGGTAATCATGTACTAATAAAAAAAATTTTAAAGCCCCAAGACAGGAAAGAGCATGACACTATCAGGGAAATTGTAAAAGATTTGAAATAGGAGAAATGACTCCTGCATGTTCTAATACATGTTTTCGGGCTTTCTGTGACTTTCATTGTCTTTGATTTTACAACTATTGCAAGTTGTAAAAAACAAAAAGTAATGAAAATGATTCTTGTCCACAGAAATACAAGCTAATTTTACCCAGTAGAATGCAATTGACTGTTGCCCTGAGACTATATCTAGATCTACATCTATTAACAAATTCAATTCAGTGTTTCTTAACTGCCCACCTATAGAAGTCTGTGCATATATCAGAACCAGTCATGATAAGTAAAACAATCTTGGGCATGTGCTCATTTTATATTGATATGAAACTTAGGATTTTACCATTTTAAAAATCTTTCCTACAAACATATACAAGAAATTACAGAAGGCCAGGAGGAGAAGAGTTTGCCAAATATAACACTCCAGTTAACCTTGAATTCAGATAAGACAACTTTTGTGTAAATGTCCCAAACATCACAAAGGACATGCTCAAATTACAAACGTATCCCTCGTTCATCAGAATGGCAAACCCACCGGGCAGACTGCATTTCCATTTGCTGAATCTACGGTACTGGAGCAGGATCACTGCAGGCTGTACCCCCAGTACGTTCCCTGTCTGCTCCCGGGCCCCACAGGGACACTTCATTTAACCTATGACCTCCCAGAGACCACATCAACATGTTCTCTGCAAATCCCAATGCAAAAATATTTCCCCTCATGCTTTTAATTTAAAAAAAGAAAATCGCTCACCTCAAAAGAGGGGCTGGTGCCGTCAGGTTTCTCCTAGTAGGACCCCTTCCGCCCTCTGCTCTTGCACCACAGGGACTTAGAAGTCTCCACCAGGCCCACACCCAAGACACTGTTGATGCAGTAGCATGAGCTGCTTCACTGCCTCTAACAAGCTGAGTTGGAGGAAGGGAAGCAACCAATCTGACGCAGTTTTTAACTCCATGGACTGGCTGCCCTGCTGCATACCAGCACGCCTGGAAAAACTGCTGTTTTGTTCCCTATCTGCTCATGTCTACCCCACAGAGAGTGTGAGGCACCACATACTCTTTAGTTTGGAACAAAAGAAACAGTGGAGCAATGAGGACAAGTTCCATGGAACACACAGCGTGAGATTTGAGGACCCCAGACCCCACAACCATTCCCACCCTCTCGGCCCCTCACAACTACCAAAACTGTCTTTTTGTCAGTGACTCTTTGCTTCTTCTGCCCCCAAACAAAATTCTTTATTTGCTCATTTCTTGCATTTGAAGTAGTCTTCAGGGGCACCCTTGTCCTGAGATTCTTTGCACTAGTCCTCAGGTACTACACAACTGCGGCCAACCACTGCGCAGGGTTTCCTCTTTGTTAGTTTACACAGTCCCCTAGTTTCTTGTCATCAGCCTTATTCAGGTAGGTATAATGCTCAGCAAGAGTCTCCAGCACTTGGATACAAACACATGGAGATGGGCTCGGCACTTGTATAAGCTTCAGTAACTTTATGATTGCAGGGGCTGGGCTAGGATGGACAAGGTGGCCTTTGGTGCCTCCTGTAAATCAAGAATAGCATCCACGCCTTCCTCAGCATTGCTGGTGGGCTAATGGTGAAGGAGAATGTTGAACATGCCAGCCTCACTCTGCAGTAGTGAAGTTTTTCCATATTCAAACCACCTATTAAAATGCAAACATCAGGCATGGTGACACATGCCTATAACCCCAGCATTCTGAGAGACTGAGGCAGTAAGATCCCAAGTTCAATCCAGCCTGGGAATATAGTGATTCAGGAAGATCTTGTCTTGCTGGGTGTTATGGTTTGTGCCTAGATGTCCCCCCAAAGCCTCATACAGTCATGGGGGAAGGTTTCTAGATTTGTGAGTAATTCATGGTTCAGTCCTAAGATTATGGATGTGTGTGACATCCGCCCTGGGGTAGATAGCCTGCACACAATATAAAGGGATAAAGAGGTTTGCTCTCACACTCCTCCCTTCTTTATGTTGATGCTTTTTCTGTCTTCTATCACCATGAACGGTTGCCTCGTGCCATGCTACCCAGCCTTGGATCCAAGTGAGTATAGACTGAAACCTCCACAAACTGTAAGCTAAATAAACCTTCCCTTCCTTCACGTTAGGCATCAGGTATTTTATCTCAGCAAGGAGAGAAAAATAACCAAGACCTTGGGGATCTAACTCAGCATGAAGATCCCAAGCTCAGTCTCCAGTACAATCAACCAATATAAGAGCAAATATTCCCCCATGGAAATATTCAATGTCAGCTAAAGTTTTAGCAGGAGTCCACTGCCAGGACCTGAAATAAATAAGCCAAGGACTTGAGGGGAGGCAGAATAAGAGCTTGATAGTGAGAGATGAGGGCAGGAAGGAAAGATCCAATCTTGTAGCTGAAGTCTCTGATATAAAATCTAGGGAAGGGTCACTTGCAACTGCTGACTGCTCCTGTTCCTTCATTTTCCTTGGATCTGATATGTGACGACAGATCTCTGACAGGACATCGGCAGTGGTGTGTACATCCCTCTGAAATGGCAGTAGGGAGGTGCCTGCAAAATGGGGCCAGGCTCCTTCCTCCCCAGGCAGTTCTGATCACCAAACTTTCCCACCCTCTCCAGCCCCACTGGCTCTTGAAGGAGCTAATGTCCCTTTCCAAGTGCAGAAGACAATGAACAGCCCTGCTTTTCCTGTAAGGTGGGAGCAGGTGCCTGTTAGACAGATTCCCTCCAGATTGATTAATGCTGGGGGGTCCAGGCTAGAAGATCGCTGTCCCCAGGAAGCATCCTCCCCTCTTTAAGCGATGCCTGTGCGTACCAACTTTGGCTCTCAGCTGCTGCGATATTTCTCTCATAAAGTGGCAGGCACAGCATGCACTCAAGGAGCCATTACCAGCCCTCTCGAACGAGACTTTTGTTTTCTAGAGACTTAATTTCTTAAAATGTTGGAGTGATTGGTCCCTCTGAAAGCAGGACAGACTCTCTTTGAGCTTGACAGACAAAAACACAACAAACCCCAAACACAAAAAGTCTGAAAGGCAAACTTCTTCCCAAAACTGCTGGCCCCTCCTCCAGCTCTGGCTGCTCTGTCTCTCTAATGAGAGCAGATGGCGCTGTCAGAACCTGGGCTTACTGTGAGATGGCTCCTGTGCTTTCCTTCCAAAACCGGGTGTTAGCAGATCTTTTCCCAGCGAGTCAACCAGTTGTTTAAGTGATGGCCTAGACGCATACCAGGAAAGTGGAGTTTCCATCCACATGCATACATCCGCTACAACCTTTTGGAGAGACTGAGCACAAAGCGCTTCCTAACACAGTAAGTTTCCCAAGGACCCCTCTGGACAGTGGGAGACAGGTCACTGAGGCCGCCTCCAGAAAGGAAGTCACTCCAGCCCCTGCTAGGTCATGAGTTTGAGGCCCTAAAACCAACATACAGAGCTGTCCCAGTGCACCTTCCAGAAGGCCAAATATTCCAGAAGGTCAGGGGAGCTGGGCTGGACCTGACTATGGAAACATCAGTGCCCCTCCACCCCCGGCAGGGAAGGTGGCTACCTCTGTGGCAGAGGTTTCTCATCTTGTAGAGCTGGACAGCCAGCCTGGGCTGACTCGGATCCACCCTGTACTCCATCCACACAGTACGAAAATTCCATTTCCACAGCAGCGTACTTCTGAATTCTGAGCTCCATGTCCCACAAAAACCGTTTCACTGCCATCGTGATTAGTGAATTTAAATAACAGCTATTTTTGTGTGTCAAGAAGCTGTAGGAAAAAAAAGGGAGACATCCACTGTGAGGAACAAGACATGACAGAGGAAGAGGGTGGAGAGGCGCTCAGGGAAAGCACTTCTGAGACCGCTACAGAGGAGTCTGCAGACCGAAGGCGACAGGGGCCTGGGTGCCCATGAGTGGCACCTACTGGGGGCAGGGAGGGCACCGATGTTCCATAGTTCCAGAAAGAGCACCGGGACAGCTCTGTAGGTCGGTTTTAGGGCCTCGAACTCACGACATAGGGTGGAGTTTGGGCAGTGAGCTTGTGTCCCATCACAGGTGAGGCATGAGAGAAGCTCGGAAGGAATTTTTACAGTGTTCAGGTGTGAGCTCCTAAACCTGAGCACAGAAACTGAAATCACGCCTCGTGTACCCAGGAGCAGGGCTCAAGAGCACGGTCTGAACATTCAGTATTCGGGATTTCTTCTGTGTCTTTAAAATGGAATAATAGTACAAAACAGGAGTTGTAGAAGAAAAGACGATCACAACCAACCCATGCTTCCTGGCCTCCTCCCCAGGGCACGGCTGTCTACACAGGCTGAGACACGGTCCCCTTGCTTGTTCCTATGCTGGCTCACAGAGAGAAAGACAAGATAAAAGGGAGAACAAGCATTTCTCAACCATTTTTAAAGGCTTTTTTTTTTGTCTGCGGAGAAGTGGACGCCACCTTGGTTTTTAAGCATATAACCTGTCTAAATAATATCCAGAAACTACCACATGTATAGCTGGCATCAGTCTCTGAAAAAGTGTCTGCATCTTAGGCACAGTGCCTGCAGTGTCACTTCATTACAAGCCTCAGCACGTGCAGCATTCTGTTTATTAATAAAGAAACTAAGGCTCTGAAATAGTAAATAAATTTCTCTAAAATAGTAAATAGACAATTTATGGAAGATTACTGTAATGAACTGTTTGTGTACCCCCACCTAAAAAAGTCATACATTGAAGCCCTAACTAGCAATGTGATACTATGTGGAGACGGGTGATTTAGCAGGTGACTGGAGCATGAGGGTGGTGTCCTTGTAAGTGGGATTAGTGCCCTGAGAAAAGACACGACAGAGATGGTCTCTTTCCTCCTCTGTATGAAGATTTAGCAGGAAGGAGCCTCTGTAAGTCAAGAAGTGGGGACTCCCTCGGAAGTGAGTCAGCAACTTCACCTTTGACCTCCGGATCCTGAGACTCTGTGCAAAGCAAATTTCTGTTGCTTAAGTCAGCCAGTCTAGGGCGTTTTTGTTATGGCAGCGAGAACTACAACAAGTACACACCTACCGAGTAATGGATCAGTCTGTTCTCTAGGGCACCAGCTGCATCTCAGCTGCCACCCGCACAGAACCCCCATCCGGTGCAGCAGCACGGTCACCTTCGCCTGCTTGGGGCTCACTGTAGCTGACAGGGAACCTTCCCATCTGTCACTTAGCTTAGGGGGTGTCGTGAGAAGTGCGTCTGGGAGGTTAATGGACACGAAGCTAGTGGTCGCCTCTTAGGAAGAGGATGAATCGGGGGAAAGAGGCACAGGTTAGGTAACGTTCAATATAAGGCTTATCCATTATGAAATAAATAATCGAAACACAATATATCACAGAAGGCAATGTGTCATAAACCACGGGTTATAATTACTCTGCCTCTGTGACCCGAGACCATAAATATTTTCAAAGAAAAACAAAAGATTGTTCTTATCTGAATTTCCTCTCCGTCAAGCCGTCTGTTCTCCAATTAGTAGCTTAATCCACTGAATTTACACTGAAGTTGCAATACATGTGACCTTTGTTTTTAAAGTGGGGTCTGGAATTTCTGACCTCAAATCCTGGATCTGGATATGATGTCCACTGTGAGGCTCCTGGTTGCATATTATTTCTACCAATAAAAAAAAAAAAAAAACCTAGTAAAATAATCTTGAAAATAATAACTGGCGGGGCTGGAGGTTTAGCTCAGCGGCATAAGCACCTGCCTTGCAAGCAGGCAGTCGTGAGTTCGATCCCTGGTACCGATAAAAAGGAAAAAGACAAAAAAAACAAAAAGAAAAGAAAATAATAACTGGCAGTGCTGATAAAGATGTGGAGACATTAGCATTCTCGCTATAAAAAGTGTCACATGATATAAACCTGCTAAAGAATGCAGTGATAAGTTATTTTTTTAATTCCACAATATTTGACCCAGAAATTCCCTTTCTGGTACT